AGTATATATATCATCTCAACCAAATCAATACTGAATAATCTAGGATGCCGAGCAAACGATACAAAATAATCAGTTACAGTTTGAATAGAAGAAAATGACAACAAAAATCTCTCATGTTTTGTATTTCGGATGACCTATATACAGGTGCAGTAGTATTTCATTTAAAATTCTAGATTCAGTCTCTTAACGACAATAAGAATTACTTATTGCAATTATTGGAATCAGAATTACCGTAAGTAGCTGGATTTTGGATGACATTGAGCAACAAATTGAATGTGTCTAAATATGAGTAATTGAAATCCTTCAGTTCAGACTGCAACCCTTGTAGCACGGACTGAAGTCCTTGGTTATATTTGTTTGTCCAGTAATTAGCTTGTTGGGAGCATTCACCAGATTTATTGGCACTTTGATATCTTAGCAATGGCATGCATCCAACTGATCCTACCCCAACAATCACAAATTTTCGTGCACCTAGACCATACAATTGCTGAATCCAAAATAAAACAAAATATGGACACTCAGTGTTTCCACTAAACTAAAAAAATTAATGAACATATCAGTTAATTATAACTAAGTGACAAATGTGTGTTATATATCTTGCATATTTCAATGATTTTGGGTAAACGCTGTGTGAGTAAAGGTTTATCAAATTTAAAATGCAACTTGGAAATTGGTGGTAGAAAGTGTACCTTGAGCTGGCCCTGTACAGAGGAAACCATTTGATCGACGAATTGCTGGGGTGCTGTAGTCTTAGGGAGTTTTGAATCGGATTTGAAATAATTAATCATATCATTACTTCCAATTACAATAGCAAAAACAGACTTTGACAGTTGCTTATGTGCAGCATCAGATCCTAATTGATTCACCAATCTTTGTTGAACAATGGAGAAAAACTGCACTTGTTGTGACATATGAAGTGCTTTACTCTGCAAATAAAGAAAATAATTGTTAATATGAATGTTATCATCGAATTGACTAATTTCAGACATTAATTCATTGAATTAAAAATTTTAAACAGAAGATGCTTATCATCGAGCGGGGATAGCTCAGTTGGGAGAGCGTCAGACTGAAGATCTGAAGGTCACGTGTTCGATCCACGTTCACCGCATTTTTTATTTTTTGTTTTCATTCAGATTTGTTTTACAGTTTGTAATTCATCGTGTGCGAGTCAGACATAATGGGCTAATGGAGTGCTGTATAATGCGCCCAAGTATCTTTTCTATTAAGGGAGAAATTCAAAAATAACCAGATTTATATGTGGTAATTGAAAAATAGCGACAGTTTCAAAAATAATTAAAATTTAGCCACTTTTTATGTAAAAGATAAATCTGAATAAAAACACTGTTCAAAATCCGAAAATATTCCAGTATAATATGCTGGAGTTCGAATTTTTTACATGTGAACTTCCAGCATAACATGCTTAAATTCCATAATGTGTTGGAGTTCCAACATAATATACTGGAAGTTCATACACATATGCTCCAATCTCCAGTATATTAAGCTGGAATTTTCCGTGTGCTAATATGTTGGAAGTTCATACACATGTGCTCCAATCTCCAGTATAATATGCTGGAACTTTCCGTGTTACATCAAAATAGTAGCTATTTTTCAATGACTTTATAAATACTAGCTATTTTTTAATTATCAGTCTGAAAACTGACTAACCCGTGCCATTTTGACTTCTAGTTCATTTCATCGACCTTTTGAGCCTAGGTGTGAGGCCCAATAACTTTTTATTTTCAATGTACTTCCTCTATAAAACAATAGGGTAAAACAAGAAATGACCAATTGTAATATAAACATTGGGAGGTTACTTAAATTCAAATTCATAACACAATGATTTCTAATTTTAGTATTTGTAATTAGCATATGCTAGTCAAGCGGATTTCTCATGTTTTCTACGGATTCATGTGAACCTAGTAGTTTTTGCTCAGACCCTATATGAAATATGTATAAAGAAATCTACTAAATATCTATAAATAATTGATTGTGAAGCCAATTAATATTGTATATTAATTTGAAATAGCTATAAAATTCATAAACTTTAATGGTAGTAGAGGCACTCAGGGATATTGCGTTTAAAGGAGAGAAAAAAAAAAGGAATTCAAAAAACGTGAATTAACTTACAAGAAGGTTATCGTTGGTGCCATTAAAAATTCCAGCTCCACCAGAGGCAAAGCTTACACCATTGGCGAACACATTGTTCTTGTCGGCCAAGTATGGAGGAGGCGTTGGTACTCCTAATTTCTCAGCTGCCAAACAATTTTTTTTAGAAAGAGAATTTTTAGTTACGTTATGTTTTAAAGGAAAAAGTAATGTCATATTTCAAAGTTTGCATCCATAATTCCACATGCATAAAACAATACAATAGTGGATGTCAAGCAAGAAAAGGGATAAAAGAAGAGATATTTTATGACAAAATAAAGAAAAAGATAAAGTTTGCTCCATCACCCAAAACGCATCGATCCTTCACCATCAAGTTGATAGTGGCCGCAGTTGTGTTTGTATACAAGAAGCAATTAACCCCCCATTTCCAAAAAAGAATAATCTATTAAGGTTTTATTTTATACTACTTTCGTTTTATTTTATATGAAGGTATTTAATTAGCACAGAATTTAAGAAATAAAAATTACCCTGTAAAAAACTAAGCCTTCGAAGAGTTTGCTTTCCATGCACTAATTACAGTACCCCACTAGTGACAGTGCCATTTTACAATTAAAAAATATATATATATCAACATACAGTAGAATGCGTGGTAGCACAAAAATGTATGTTTGTATAAAATAAAATAAAAAAACTACTATCAAGTAAAATCAACATTAAGTGCACGTATTTTCCTTTCACCAAACAATCATGGACGAGATGGAAATACGAGTTAGGTGCTATTGCTTAATTCCTTCAAATATTTGAAGGGACAGGAGAAGCTTCAAATTAACCGGAAATACGTATATAATTCTTGTTATTTTGCTTGAAACCACGACAGAAGAGAAAGATGGACAATTATAAATGATGGCGAAGCTCGAAAATAATAGAAGGTGAATTTCAATTTGAGGCATGAAGTAAAACCTTAAAATATCGATCAGTCTAAAGTACTCTTAAGTCTCAAAATCCACTTACAAGACTGAATTGTGTCTAATAGCACCATTTTACAATTATGGTGTGACTATATGTGAAATTAACACTCGTACTGATCATATTAACATAGATGAGTATTTGCTTACCTAGAAAATCGGCAGAGTTTTTCCCATTGCAAAATCTTCCAGTAGGTTTTCCACCAGGATAATCAACACCATTGTAAGGAAAATTAGCTTTAATAATTGTACCAAAATGGTTGTTATTGCCAACGTCTATAAGCGAGTCACCAAACATGTAAGCCGCTGGCACTGACTGTGCTACACATAGTTTAAAACATAAGAGAAAGAAAGAAGAAAACAAGGAAGAGAAGAAGAAGAAAGGAGAAGCCATTGATATATGTCAATAATATTTAGACTTAATAATAGGGACCAATGATTTATGGCTCTTTCTTCTTCAGTACTGGAAAAATGGGTTGAAAAGAGTAGTATATATAAACATGATTAGGTGTTGTTGAAAGAAGAAGAAGACGCAGAGGTAGCCTACAAGTTACAAAACTTGTTGTGTGAACGAGTTGATTTTTTTATTTATTTTTTATTTTTTTTAATGATAAGGAATTAATTTGCTTGGAACAGCTTGTCTATCTTATTGCCCTTCTAAGAAGGAGATGCCATTTTGTGTCTGTATCTGCTTATGTATAAGAACTCTGTTCTAAACTTTACTCGAGTAACTAATCGTAATTACTTCGTCCAAAATAAAGAAAGTAAAGAGGATATATGTGCAGAGACTATTGGAATATATAGTACTATTAATCATGAGTTTAGATATTAGTATTTATTATAATAATTGTTTATTCAATTTTACTAAAAAATTAAATAGATCATGTGTTTGCCTTTATATCATTTACTAAAGTTGAGTCTGATTTTTTTCGTATATGTACTAATAGATCAAACAGAAAGCAAGGGGAGGTTTAGTTAAACTCATTGAATTTGCTCTAGAATACACCTATGTTGATTTGAGTTATTAATTTTAATTTTGATATAAACTACTTAGAAATTGATTATTTAATTTTTTAAAATAAAATTTATTTATTCTAATATAATTTTTCAAATATAACTTATTTTTTCTTCTAAGTACTTGTCATTAAAGAAATGACAAAAAGACAACAAAACCGATTCTAGGAGACTCGAATGAACTTGAAGTGATGGGATAGCTTTTAGTTTTCAAATGATGCAGTGATCTTTGTAAAGCTGATGATTCTTGAATCAGATTCACACGTTTTGGACCTAAATCAAAAGCTCCTTTTGGTGGTTTTAGTTTCATCAAATATCTTTAGCTCCACATACATCTTAATCTAATATTTTCTATGTGAACTGACAATTATATATAAAAAGTCCTGTTAGAAAAATTCAGTAAATATTATATTTAAACTCATAAAAATCTTAAAGACCGAGCTCATTAAATTTAAATTTTGGATCAACTTTTGCTGCGAATCATCTTGTATATATCCATTCCCGAGAAAAAGAATAAGAATAAAAGAGCGAAAATAGAGAAAACGAATTGTTGTGTCTAAATAATGTGTCGTTCATTAATTAGAAATAAAAACACCGACATGTTCTTCAAAGATCAAAGTGGAATAATACTTTACCCTTTTTTGCCATAAAGAGGGATCCATCACATACCAACCATATTGGTTCTTTTATTAATTTTAAGAGCTCAAAGCTACTTTCCCACACGCATCATCTTGCCTAATCCATGTATGCTAAGACATCATTCTTATATAAATAATTTATTATTCAAAACATCATATTCTCTTTTTTGGTTATCTCTAAGTAAACTTCCAAGAGATTAATAGAAACCATTAACTATATATTTTTATGGGACATTATCGAAAAATAATTTTGGAAAAAAGTTGTGCGCTTAAAATAGATTTTTCAAATGACTTTTTGGAGAAGACATGTATTAATAGGGGTACATCTTGTTTGAGACTTTGAGTCTTCAAACCTTTCTTTAAGTTAAACATAATAGGGAGTAATTCTTAGTCTTCTATCCAAACTTATACGTACTTGCGCAATAACAGCATATCAAAATACATTAAATTCTTTTTCTCCTAAAACACCAGAAAAATTGGAAGAATGGAATGTAAGCGTGGTCCATCATATAGCTGTAAACTCCTCATTGAAGCTGAAATATGCGTCTTAGTTTCTACTATGTCGGCTCCACTGCCTCTTTATTTTAGTTGTTTCACATTTCAGTTTCATCGAATAGGCTATTTTTTCGACCATAGTGGAAAATGGAATTAATGTCTATTTGGAGCCTTCCAATTATAGTAATCAAATACTATCATTTTCCAGGTCAACTTGATGCAATTTCGAGATGGATCTTCCACTCAGTAAGTTGAGACCCCACCTTCGTGTCGACGCCTAGAAAATCTTCAGTTTCACAAAGCCCATGTGATTCTGGGCCTAATCTTTAGTTTGAGCAGAAATGAGTCCATTAAAGAAATCTGATGCCAATATATACATGGATTCCTTTCTTTTAACTCAGAGTCCGTAAGCAACATCTTCCCGGGACAAACTGACAAAGTCACATTCCCACAGCAGGAAAAATGCATATTTTTCCTTTTGTTATCCGTCCTCCTTCTATTCACCGCTACTATAGCTCTGCTTATTCAATAAAACACACTTCAATCTTATAAATTTAATGTATACCTCAATGTAGCTCTCAGTGTAGAAATCACCTCAATCGCGACTTGTTGAGATTAACTACTCTGAGCATTTAGAATTGAAGCTTGCAGCCAACCTCCAAATGCTGCCACAGGCACTTCTTAAATGTTTCTTCTGTGCTTCCTTTATGAGGTAGAATTTGCAAGCAGGAGCAAAGCACCAACACTTCATATGGATCCAAATACGTAAGAACCTCGGGAGCTCTATCATAGTCCTAGCAAATCAAGACCAGTGATTGTGAGAAAATCGTAATAATTGTTGGCTACTGAGTACGTGAATCATACTATACAAGTGAGGGCTTAATTTGAACTCTTTAAATTAAAACTGACTACCAATTCCATACCCACTGACAATAGTTTCTCAATAGCAAGAGGAAGGTCATGAACGACAAATTTAATGGTCTATGTTTTTTAAATTAACACAGCCATCATGTCGACAGATAGTTAACATCTTTTTAACAAAAAGCACCACGAGGGAAGAACGAGGGGTTTTCATGCCTTCCATTCTAGGGCTACCTCGGCCAGCCGAGCCCATTACAAAACAAGGGTGCCATCTACCACATGAGCAAGTCTCAGAAGGATTGGACCATTGCTATGTACAAATTGCTAAAAACTATAGATGCAAGTACAGACACTAGGGTAAATGCAGTTGTCTTGGGATCAGAATTATACTTATTTGCATTTCCGATTCTGTAAAATATTTAAGTAAAATATGTTGGCTATATTAACTGTACCAGCTTGTTTATGTCAGCATGTATAAACTCCAGATAACTTGGTTCTGTCAAATGTATTTTGCTAATCACCAAATTCTCAACATCGCGCTATCTCTTTACAGAAACGAAAAAAGAATCATACCTATTCGCAAGATGTATTCACTTTTCTGAGTTCTGATCATGTATTAATCTCTTTTCAGGAAACAAAAAAATAAAAGATGATACCTTTTGTAAGATCCACTTACCTTTTCCGTTACAACAACAATAGGCTTCATAGAAAACTCTGATTGAAGATTCCGAAGTCTCATTCTGATCATATCAATATCCTAACATTATTACGGACTAAAGTGAATACTTAAGTTTTTGAAAAATAAAAATAAATGAAAATGTCTAGCACAAACATCAATTCATAGAATCCAGGTGGAGCAGGGAAAACAGGTGGATGACAGATCTATGGATGCCATGATGTGAGATAAATCACGTTAAAATGTCGACCTTCACAATTACAATGTCCACGTTACTAGTCTATGAGTAAACAGGGGAGTAAAGAGAGAAGCCAAACAAAAATAGATGATGTCACATACCTTAGCTTGAAATAAATGATGGTCACTAAAGCCTAACTGATCAACATATGTTGGCCCCAGCTGCAAAGTTTTAACAACTTTTTAGACCATAAGAGAGAATAATAAGTTGTGGTAATAAAACAAACGAGAGTAGTTGAATAAAAACTCAACCACCTCAAAGCTTCAAAAAAAGGTAGGAAAATAGATGGTTGTATGAGTATCAAACAAGAGAATTTTTTTCAAAACCTGTACCTTCTTTATTGTCTCAACAAAAGATTCAGCAGATCCAATTGCTGAGACACATAAGACAAGTGTATTACAGATGTCCATCAAAGCCAATTTGTGAGACATGTTGCGAGCTTTAAGAAAGTATAAAGGTGCCAATCTGCTCAAGAATATAGGAAAAGAATTTTTTACTGTTCGAATTTCTGATGCTATGGCCTCAACGTCCTTTTCTGAGACCTGCGTGACTCAAGCATATTAAATGGACGTCAGTGGTCCTATTTGATTTTGTAATTTTACTAATCAAATGTCATGCTTCACAAGTATCATGAAGCTATCTCAGATACAGAGAAGAAAGAGAGTGTTAATACCAAGTCCGCGTGATGGATTACAACTATATCTGCTCGTGCAAGTGCAGTCAAAGGTTCCCTTAATGGTCCAAGTGGAATTAACTGATGGTTCCCCCATGGAATCATTGCATTCACCATTACAATCTCGACGTCACGCCACAAACTGATATGCTGCTTTCGCATTTTTAAAGCTAACAAAATGTGAGTACAAGTTTAATGTCACAAGTAAAATAAAGAGCCCACAATCATACACCTAAATAAATCCTAGTTAGAAGCAAGGCCATGTTTTAGGTCGGGATATAAAGTCTGGGGATTGAAATAAAAAGAGTATCCAATTTTGAATTGTTTGGAAGATCAAATAGTTATAATTATAAAGGGAAGAAGAAGAAAGGTTTGCAACTAAGCACAACAGCAGGAATTCGAGAGGTATACATATTCCAAGAAAAGATGGGAAACATTTTTAACTCAATTTAACCCAAGAATAACATGAATTAATTTTACTAAATATAAACAACAAAGTTCATGTTTGATTAATAGGTGGTTAACACTTAAAATTGCAGTTTTGGCACAGACCTGCATTCCATCATCTAGGATTGCAACCCCAATTTGGTCACAATAAGAACTATTTCCCTTTTTGTTATCAGAGAAAAGTCTGTCCAAATCCGTGTTACCATGCTTGCAAGGGCTGATGTGGCCATATCTTTTCAGAAAACTGGCAGCCGTAACGGCCCTGTTTGCACCTACTCCAATCTTCACAGGTATCCCATACAGATGCCTTTGGAGCATTTTTGCTTCATCTGCATCACCATAACCCTGCAGAAGAAAACATTTTCGCAAAATACGAGCCTTGTGTTTGTACAACTGAGTTCCACAAACCAACACCAAAAACAAACCAAATAAGAGGCTCAAAATATTTCTTCCTATATTGAAAGATTTAGGTAACAAATGTTCGAAAAACTTTGGCACTAAGTCCGACACGAGATTAACACAGAGAGAGAATAAAAGACCAGATGTAACAGTAGATCATCCACTTCAAATAAACCAGAAAAGTGGCCTCTTAACAAGGTTCCCTTGTGCTAATAATAAATCCGTGGAATATCAAGCAAATTGAGTGCGGTCAAAAAAAGGAGATGGATTCATTCATTTTCAAAAATATTACATGAAAAACAAAACATATGGAGTAATATTATGAAGTACCCCCTATATTGCAATTTATATGACACTCTTGTCATTGTAATTACATTCAGAAATATTGGATATCTTTCCATTAATAGGATTACTTCATACAACTTTCACAACTTTTAGAATTCAAATTTATTTAAGTATTCAAATTTTGATCTTCATGTGATTTTTTTTTATCACACTAACTTCTTAGTTTTTTTTTTTTTTTTTTTTTTTTTTTTTTTTTTTTTTTTTTTTTTTTAAAAA